AAAACAAAAAGGATCTAGGAAAGCTAAATCAATTTTCACCCTTGGCTCGGCCTGAAAAGTAAAATTGCGAGACTTATTCATATTAATTGATTACAATTTACATTAACCAATTATAAAGCCTAAATTCCTTTTCTAAATGAGTTAGTTTTTTGAATTTAATAATTTATTTTTAAATCTTACTATTTGAGTAAAATTAATTAAAAATTTAATTTTTATCAATTATTTAAATATTTACACTTAATTTAAGTATCATTAATGTTTCTCCAGCTCATGAACGGATCCATTTTTCCCTTCCCTTTTATAATTATCCTTGTTAAAAAAAAATTCTTTTCTAAATATACAAAAAGGAGAACTTCTAAGAAAAATCATCAATTACCTCACTTCTTATCAAATTGGTTCATTTTAATCAGCGATTTCGAAGCCTTGGGTTATGTACCATGATTTGAAATTCTTATGACAAGCTAAAAGCTAGGGGATGTTTGGTTGCTCACGTCACTGTAAAAGAATTTAGGAGAGCTAATAAAAAATGTTGAATGACTTAGTTTAAAAAATTAGTTTTTTTTAATTCTAAATTTAAGGTATAATATTATTGATTATAATGAAAATGTAATTGATTATATATTAATTTTTCTAGGAAACTCTTTTTTTTAATGTTTTTTGATTGAAAAGTAATTATAACCTATTATATTTTGGAATAAGTAATTATGTTTTATAATTAATTATATATTTATTGTAATCAATTATTATATAACAATATAATTACTTACACAATTTACTATAATTAACTATTTTTTTATCTCAATTTTTGTGCCAAAAGAATTGCTTTCAAGTCAAGTCATTAAACATTTTTGATCGATTTTCTCAAATTCTTTTTGTAAGAAAGTGACCAAGTGGGCAACCAAACAAGCCCTACTGCGTCATAGCTACCCAGGATTCTTCTTCTTGGTGGACAACCGTCCTACAGTGAAATCTACCCACCTAATAATATGCAATATAATATGATCAAACTATATAGTAATTAGACCTGGCCTTTGGTTTAACGTTTCATTTTTAAATCTTAATATTTGAATATAATTAGTTAAGAGTCCGATTTTTACCGATCACTTAAAAATTTTTCTTTTTCTTTTTTTTTTCTCGGTTAAAAGAAAGTAATTTTTTCTATTTACTTTAATAGTATATTTTAGTTGAGAAAAAAGGGCAAAAACCTCTCATTTGCTTTTCAATTTTTCGAGTTTGAGGTATTTTACCCTTTATATTACGATATATAAATTTTTACCCTTTATGCTTTTAAGTTTAAAGAAATAAAACAAAATTTAACATCAAAAGGTTATGTGCAACACGTGTACCGTTAGTTTCCGTCATACATTCACATATCAGTGCCACATCACCAACAATTTTAACTTGTAAGCCCTACTTGTTGACTTACAATAATGATATGAAAAAAAATAATAATATGATAAAAAAAATTCTTTTCTTTCCTCCTCTTCCCCTTTCCCTTTCCTCTTCCCTTTCTTCAATTTCTACAAACTCTAACATCTCAACCAATCTCTAGTATTGTTGGATTCATCATCATCATTAAACAATAAAACCCAAAAAAATACAAACAATTTTTTAAAAAAACTTTTTGCCACTGGGTTTATAGAACCCACACCTAGATTCCAATGAACCTAGGTGTGCTAGGTTCAAAGGAATCCAGTACTTTGGTTCTTTGGAACCTAAGTGTGAATTCCATCAAACCCAGCGCTTAGGTTCCTCGGTGGATCCAGGAATATGAATTCTCTCAAACTGAATTTCAGAAACTCCATTGGTGGATTCAGTGCTTGCAACTAGAAAAAGCATATTAACAACCTTTACACATCAAAGATTAGTTAAGAAAAATTGGTGATACTTCTCTGAAAAAAAAAAAAATGATTTGAGACTTAAATTCATTGTATGAATTATGTAGAGCTCAAATGAAGAAACTGATCCTACTAAATGTTGAATTTCTCCTCGTTGGTGGCGGCAGCAGCAGAAAATCAAACATTAAAATGAAATTCAAATATGAACTGGTAGTTGGGGATGGAAAGAAGGAATAATACCTTCAAGTTTGTCAAAGTAAACACCGCTTCTAATTCTACCTCCTCCTCCATTTTCTTCTAAATTATCGCTGCCGCCATTTACGTTCTCGAGCTCCACATCTTGTTCCCTGTCATCCGCTTCTTCTCCTCCTTGCTCAGCAGAAGCTTATTCAATTCCATCGTGATCAGTAGCCGGCTCACTACCAATAGTAACAGCAGAAGCTTCAGATTCAATACAGCCATGATCAACCGCAAGCGTGTTAGGTTGGAAGGAATCCACGCTTAGGTTCCAAAGAACTTGCACTGGGTTCATCAAACCCAGGTGTGCTGGGTTCGATGCTGTCGAGTTCCAAGGGGAGAAAGAAAGGGAAAAAGAAAGAAAAAAATAATTATCATATTATTATTTTTTTTCATGTTATTATTGTAAGCCAATAAATAGGACCTACAAATTAAAATTGTTAATGTGATGTTCACATGTGAATGTATGATCAAGACTAATGATGCACATATTATATGTGATTTTTTGATATCAAATTTTATCTCATTTCTCTATACTAAAAAATATGAAAAGTGAAAATTTATATATTGTATATGAGAGGTAAAATATTTGAAATTCAAAAAGTTGAAGGCAAATAGGGGGAGAAAAAAGAATAAGAGTCTAGAGAGAATTTTTTTCTATTTAATTGCCAAAAAAATTTAAAAAATATTCAACTTTATTTTTAAATTTATTTACTTATTTAAATAAAAAAAAATTTAACCCACTACTTTTTCCTTCAAGTCTAACATACGATACGTTTCCCATAAAAAAAAAAAAAGTCTAACATACGATAAACCTAAGCCTAAGCTTCTGCCACACGAAAAAAGTCCAGCACTGTAACACTGCAGAGGCTCATAAATGTTTCCTGCTCTTCTTCTGTCAAAGACTGCACAGTACATGCCCCAATACTTTAAAAGGGAAAGGTGATTTTGAGGTATATAATGGCACAGCAACTACAGTTGCACACAGGCATTATGAGCCAACCACTCCTTGGCCATTTTATGTCCACTTAGTTATCTCATTTTATATTCACAAAATTATATTAAAATTCTCATTAAATAATATTTTTCCTTTAATGAAAGTCTCTTTTAAAAAAAAAATTAATGGAATGAATTTCTTTTTCACCTTCATTAACATGCTTTTTTTTTTTTTATAAAAATAATGATTAAAAAATTAATATAAATTAATTATTAACTAAAAATTTAATTTTTAAATTAAGTAAACATTCCATTCTTCAAATGAAGCACACGATCATCACACCCTCTCAAATGAAGCACACACAATCATCACATCACACACAATCATCACATCCCTCAAATGAAACGTACAATCATCTGATCACTTTTTTATGAAATTCATGATGATAAAATTCAAAGCACTGATCACCACTTCACCCAAGTACTTAAAGCTTGTGACCAAACCATTGAGTTTAAAAACCCGATTCACCTTCATTAACATGTTGGCAGCTCTCTTTTCTTTTTCAAATAATTTTCTATTCCATCCAAGATTCCAACATAAAGTTCTCATATCAAAGTCCCTAAATCTTAACCTGATAAATAATCCCTTGCAGCTATTAACTAGTTAAGAGAGTAATATAAATAAATTTAACATAAAGTGACATAACTAAATACTTAAATACAAAATAAAATATGCGAGTCATTTTAGTACAATAGACCATTATTATTTACTTATATAATAATAATTATACAAAAGCTAGAACGAAACAAAATCAAGCCCTACTTCCAACTAGTTTTCACCCCATCAGGACCGCACAAAATCCAAAAAGATTATTTTTCATTCTATTCTTCCACTTTGAGCTCTTATTCATCCCTATCATGTCAAGCAAAAGCCAAACGTCAAGCCATCTCAGAACTCAGTAGTAAGACCTGGGTAATCCCATTTCTGAAGGAAGATGATAATGACAATCCTCCTGCTTGCTAACACCTAATGTTCTCATGGAGTTCAGATGTTGAGTGACTTGGATCTCCTGAGCATGTCTGTTTGTCATTCCTGCCATAAGAATCAACACAACACTGAACTTAATCAAAAAGCAATTATGATTCTTTTACCCAAAAAAACAAGATTTTTAATCTAATTATTTAATTAATTATAACATCTACTCATACCCTTCAAGTGCATAATGGAATTTTGCCTACCAAGAAAAGACATTTATTTTTGTTGAATATTTCAGATGAGAATTTGTATAAATGAAGCCCAGACCTACTTTCAAAGGCCTAAAGCCTAAAATACAACCTTCTTTATCCACAATGTAAACGCTCTAAGGGACATCAAGTGTCCAACAAAAGAAGCTAGTGTTCCTATGATACCAATATCATAGACTGATAGACATCTTCTCATGCCAATATATGTAACAAATAAATGATAATAGTTAATGCGTCATGACGCTGCTTACACAAAGGTGTTTCTATCATTTTGCAATCGCTGAAACATATCAATTAATGCTGCCTAAACTGTTAAACATTAAACTCATTATTATCTTTTTCTTTAAAAAGGTGTTTAAAGGTCAGATTGCAAAATAACAACATAGTTTAACTCATAAACTTACTAAAATACCTTAATAAAACTTTCTTGTCATTTTATTAAAGACATTTTAACGATTTGAGTACCTATATTGTATTTTATTGTGCAGTTTCGACCAGAAAATTGTCTAAGATTTCTTACATAAATTAAATGACTACAGTACAGTCAACCAAACACTGCAAGAAGCACTGCCTGTGACAGAAAACCCATTCTTCATTACAAGACATGCCAAATACCACAACCCAAAACAAACAATTGTCAAAAACCCTGAATGCAGAAAAATGAGAACAAATAAGGAGTAATAATTTACCATCCAAGGCAGAAACTTCATCATACACATTACTCAAAGGAGAACCTCCTCCCCCCCACCTCAAAAAAACAGTTTTCTTTTTAAAGGAAAACATAACTTTAAGCATAAATAGAAACCAAAGCAATAACTCACCCTGCCTTCTCTTAGGATCAGAAGGAGCATTAGTAACAATGCGAGGATGGAAAACACCAGTGCCTCCTGATTCTCTCACTGGACCACCACCTAATCCGAACCCAGACCCATGAAATGGTAAAACCCGGTTTCGAAGAAGGCGGTTTTGCTGCCTCTGCAAAATTATAGCCCTAGTTCCAAGGTCACCATCCACCTACACAGATGACGCAAACAAACCGTGGTTAGCTTGCAATGTAATGCTCCATTAAAGCTGCAGAAAGAAATAAAAGCATTGAAAAGACGGATCATAACCCGGAAAGAAAAGGAAAGGCAAATATCGAGAGAGTACCGGGATTCGAGTCGGTTTCATGGACTGAAACTCATAAACCGGGTTGGACCCGCCCGAAAACGACCCGTCTGCGAACCCTTGTAACCTTTGTCCCACTTCAAACCCACCGCTATTGCCACCGCGTGTACAAAGTGGGATTTTCGAGACCGGAGCGTGGCCAACCGGCGGCTTAGACCGCTGTAATCTAAAAAAATGAAGCGTTAAAAGGACGTAGTAATGCAAGAGTTTCAAGAAAGAACAAGAAGCAGAGTGAGGGGGAGGGAAGGAAGACCTCTAGGTTTGAAGGCAAGTTCTGCTGTTGCTTGGGAAGAAAGAGAGATGCGAATTGGTCAGCTAGGTCATCCATGCAAGAGTGAGGAAGACGGTGGTGGTGGTGGTGGTGGCGCGGCCTGAATTCGGAAGGAACTTCGTTGAAGAAAAAATTAGACGGGAACCACGTCTCTCCGTCATCCAAATTCGGAGGAACCTGGTCAGCCATGGTCAAACAAAAACAAAGCAGACACAAAAGTGGTTAAAGGTTTTGGTTTCTCTCCGCAGTCCCACTAAACACCAAGAAACAAAACGCCGAATATGGCGTTCGGAGGCAGAACAGAAAAGGAGCGAGGAGAAGCGTTTAAAGGTCGGAAGCAGGAGCTTTTCGGGAGGAGGGACGAGGGAGGAGGATGGCGGAGGCTCCGCTTCCAAAATGACGTTATGTATTTCGCCTCCTTAAAAAGGAGAGAGAAGGAACCTCACTCTTTATAAATAAAAAATAAAAAAAATCAACTTCTCTTATTGGGTTTGCTCCTCGTTTGCGTACAAATTAAAGCATATTGATTGTATTTTCTATTAATTGATAAAAAAAGAAAAAAAATAATATTAGTTGAAGTAATGGTTCAATTAAATTTATTTAAAGTATCAATTATCTTAAAATTAATATTAATT